CTTAGGGGCTCGGGGCCCAGTACCAGTAGTAGTGTGAAGAACTACCAGTGACAAGTGAAGTGAAGTGAGTGGTTTCCGGTGGTAGCTGAAGTGACTAGTAGCAGTATATAGTGAATAGTGAAAGTGTTAGCTAGCCGAAAAAGGTCGTAACTGACATTCGCAGTTACATAGTGAAAGTGTTAGCTAGCCTAAAAAGGTCGTAACTGATATTCGCAGTTCATATAGTGAAAGTGGTAATTGATATCCGTAGTTACACAAGTGATAAAATCAATTAGTTTAGTTGATAATAGCTGCTAGTCAGTAGTGTTAGAAAACCAGCTACTACCAATAGATATTTGATACCACCGTACAATTTAAAGAAATCTTTTGAAATATACAGTGAACAACCGTAGTTTAACAACCGTGATAAATAGTTATAAAATTTCGCGACTAATCAATCAGTCGAACCGTTGGCCACTACCTTGCTATTTGTATTTGTTAATCGTGCATTTTGATTTTAACTACAGTCCACAATATTTCAGCGGCACCAACAAAGATGGCGGTGAGAGTACCCACCGGAACCTATAGGTGTAGGACGTGAGCGACTCGCGTAGTATCTTCGACAACATTTACTCCGGAGAGTTTCGCCCGTCCGGCACAGTCAAAGTGGTATAAATTCATCCATTTTTAACTCTCGCGTGCCCAGCATTTATGAACGACTTTTATTCTAATTTAAATAAATATATTTGTAATTTAAATGTTATGTTAATAAATTTTGTTAAACAGACATTTAGTATGTTTTTTTATATTTGACATAGATACATTTTAAAGTATTCAGATAAAAATGTCATTAAAATGTAATTGTGATATAATATTATGTAATATTATATTAAAAAAGCAAATATAATATACAAAATAAATGACAACATTTAAATATTGTTCTCGATATAATTTACCTATTTAACAATACAATCTACTATTACCTACTGATCATTCTACCTATGTTTATTCTATGATAAAAAAAACCAACCCCGCGAACACAGAGTAGCGTACATTTTTTGTTTGAGATAGCTGTTCTAGTACGTAAGTACATATTACTTCAATGATCCAGCCCCAGGTCTCGGACAGAGGGCGACTGAATCTAGTCTTTAGTACATGAGAGTAATAAGGTCAACGTGACACTTTCTTATAACTCAAAAACTACCTCCTTGTTTGCATAGATGGCTTTATATTACGATAGCTCTTCATCGATCAATCAAATAATAAAGGGTCAAAAGGGTGCTGCTTTGTCGACGCCATTTTGCCAGTTGACATTATAGTAAATATTTTAGTCGGTTTTAGTATGGTGAAATGTTGTTAGTTTTCAATTAGTTGATTTTTCGGAGTGTTCATAATTATTGTCAAAGCTTATTTGCTATTTTTTTCTTAATTAATTAGTTATAGTATATGACTTTGTGTTTTTGTCTCTGTCCTCCTCATAGTTTTGGTTTTAAAAGACGGCAAAGCATAACCATTTTGGTTGACTATTTTACTCTCGCGTACATTAGTTCAATCCCCTGAAGACATCAGTTTGCCCGTTTACCGCTAAAAAGTACACCTTTGTCTTATCTCTTCAGTTTCAGAGCACTTCGCCTCGAAGTCCTCGGCGTCGACATATCGAGTGACCCGCAGTCTCTTTGTCACTTGAAAGAGAAGGCCGAATCAACCTATAAAAAGCTTGGCGTGCTCAGCAGAGCGGGACAGTATTTCGTGACAGCACATCGCCTGCAACTTTACAAGGTGCAAGTTCGGCCTCACATGGAATACTGTTCACATCTCTGGACTGGGGCTCCCTGTGCTAGCTCCTTCCATTTGATCGCATCTAGAGCAGAGCTGCTTGAATCGTCGGTGACCGAGTTCATTCTGATCGGCTTGACTCACCGGCTATGCGGAGAGATGTTGCATCTCTTTGCGTATTTTATCACATCTACCACGGGGAGTGCTATGAGGAGTTGTTCGGACTAATCCAGCTGCTCATTTTCAACATCGCACATCGTGACAAAACTCGCGATACCATCCATACCATCTGAATGATCGGCGGTCCAGCATTGTGCGATTTAGAAGAAGTTTTCTTCCTCACACAACTTCCTTGTAGAATCAACTACCACCAGCGATATTTCCGAACCGATACGACTTAGGGACCCTCAAGAAAAGTGCCTGCTCCTTTTCTAAGGCCGGCAACACATCTGTAATTCCCCTGGTGTTTCATTTGTTCATGAGCGGTGGTAGTCACTTACCATCAGGTAATTGACTACCATCGCCATATTGGTGAGCGAGCATGCTCGTTTGCCCCCTTTCCTATAAAAAATATTATTACTTACATAACGTGAAAGTCAGGTATAGGATATGTTACGTTTTTACGTAAATGAACCATACCCTTACATTGTGCGTGCAGGGTCTCTGAGTAAAACCACGGACGAGGAACGAACTGACGTGGCGAAACTATAAGGGTTCCTTGTTTTGTAACTACGGAACCCTAAAAAGTAGCTTAATTCTGTTATGTTTCGTAAGATGAGCTTAGAAAATCGAAGACGCCTATTGATGATAACGAGACATTCTGTATTAGTCATCAGGGGTGATAACGCTTCTTTATTTTTATTCTTTATTGAGCATAGATGTACGTGTATATAGACCATAGCATCCACTTAAGTCAATCAAGTCACTTAATCAAGTGGACTCTGTGCTTGTTTCTCAGCCTCTTTCTATGAAAAAAATTCAACGAATTAAAATCTATTGTGAGTTTGTGAAACTTGCGCTCACAAACTTGTCTGCACAGCAAATATTCCAAGCTATTTATCTCAACTGGCGTATTCTTGAAGCTTATGTCCAATAGTAGACATAACAATGCAATTGAGGACTTATGTATGTAATGCATCCTTAAATTTGAAATATTTATAATGAAGATTTTAAATAAATAAAGACGATGTTTGAAGTTTTTAAATTATGGATATATAATAAACATTACCTTTAAAAAGTTCTTGTTTCAATAACCTCAGTTTTTTTTTGGTACGTTGGACTTTTGGATTATAATATAACTAGTGGTTGCCTAGTGGCCGAAATTTGATCTTAATTTATTAAATTTATAAGTTTGTGTATTAACCAAGCTGTATTTCACATTCCACTGCACATTAAAATACAAATATCTCATATACTAATACACCATATGAAATAATCGCTTTGTTTGAATTTTTTTTTGAAATTTAAATTCACGCAAAATTAAGAAATATTTATTTGTGGTTATCATTTTGAAAATTCTTTGAAGACAATATCTAGTCTGTGCGACTGTTTGATCACAGACTATTATGTGTTTAACACTGGCAGTATGAACGTAAACAATGAATGTTTCATTTCATTCAATTTCATCACATATTAACACACGTAACTTAGTGAACTTTGATTCCTCCGCGTGCAATATTCACAGAAAGGGCACAGAATAAATAATAGTACTACGTACAGATTGCACTCCTTTGATGTCGACTGCTTACCGACGTTTAATAGCCTACATTATTATTATTAATCAGATAAATCGCACACGCAAGCTAAATAAAACTTTATCGCTGCGCGCTAGTGTCCATATTACTTTGCATCTTTTTTGTCACGGCGGACTTTCCGTGGTTATTAAGGGATGTCAATAGAAAGTAAAAAAAAATACATTGCGAAATGTTAATGATGTTACTAAGGTGAAGTACTAACTAATATTCTGACTATCATTGAACCATACTTTTTTACCACATTTGAGTTCTGCGATGCCTAACGCATGCAAATTGCAAGGTCATTCGTCGGGAATCGTAACGCTTGGGAGAAATAGGTAGATAGTGTAAACAACAAATAAACCTGAAATACGATTTCTAACAGAAATGTGATCTATTCTATTTATTTAAAAATCTTGTTAGTATACAAAGTTTTAATTTCAGTATTTTGTGTGATTATAACTCAAAATATTTTAATTACAAAAGACAACTATAGTTATGTAAGTAAATACTTGAATAGTGAAGTAATTTTTTAGTAATTGTTGTAATGAAGTACTTAGGTATTTCTTCTGTAGACCAAATTATTACCTAATTCTTTTTTTCTGTGAGTACCTATCTAACAAAAAAATTAAATAAATTTTTTAACCTTTCATAACTTCCTTCTAAAATTCTTCGGTAACTTAAACAATGATATGAAGCCTTTTGTTGGTCATTTCATTTAGTATCCATCTAAGCAACAGTTATAGTAGGAACGACGTTTTGCTATTATAATTTATCAAATACCTATATAATTTTTAAAATACATTAAAACTTTACAACTATTTTTACCTACAATTAAACACTAAACAAAAACTATTTCAACAACTATTTACATAAAACTATTTACGTAAACAGGGGCAAAAAACTTTAACATTCGATCGCCACCAACGCGCCAGCCCTGACTGCGTTATTTCGCCCGGGCGCGTCGCGATTTTAGGTAATTATTTCACGCAGGTAGCAAGAGTGATAGATGCCTGGAAAGGGTTAGAAAGTTTTCAAAGGGGTAATCAGTTGGTAACAGTTTTCTGTTCAACTCTCTATATCCATATAAGTTATATTTAAATTATATAGTCTAAGAGGAATTTATCGTAATCACTTGACCAAAGTTTACAGGCTGATTGCCGGTCGGTATACCTACTAGTGATTTATTATTGTAAATAAATATAATAATAAGCACATTTTTAACTTATTCATATGTTCGGTAGCATAATAACTAATTACTTTAAATGTTACTTTGTTTCAGAAATAGTGGAAGAGCAAAGATGTCACAATAGCAAGATTCGGTTGACATGTCGAGAGTTGGACGCTCACATTGCTATACTAGAAGCTTGGTATACTTCTATAGATGATTACTATCGAAACTCGAACGAAACGCAAAATACTGAAAATTTCAATATCAAAATTGAGAATGATACCGAATTGGATCGAGTATATTCGTACTCCAGTCCATTGCATAACGATGTTTATGAATTAATGAATAATTCTGTAAAAGAAAATATGACGAATTTTAATAACGTCAGTAAAGTGGTAAATAGTGTAACAACGTTAACACAGAATAGTTTTGGTTTGAACGATGTTGTAGAAGCGTTGATGGAGTATATGAACGCAAGTGATATGTGCAGTTTTTTCACTTACTCAAAAACATATACCACTTGGGAAAAAGGTAATAAGCTGCGGGGTCCTTTTATTAGAAGCTCTTCTATCAATTTGGAAGCACCGTTGAAAGATCGGTAAGTTCTAGAAAGTTTGTTAAAGTATTTCACAATCGTATTCCTCTTCCTCTTTATGTTAGGAAATCTTATTAAATTAATCGAATGCAATTACCAAAATATGTTCTACACGTTCTTATATTATATACTTAGTACACATCAAATCATAATATCTTCGTACGAAACAATTTAAATTTTAGGACGTTGACTTAATTTTCCTAAATATCCCATTAGTCTTGAAGAAATTAATTCTTATCCTCTTATTCTTTAACTTCGTAAAACCCCATTTTAATAAAAAAATATTTTTATCATTAGTCAATGACAGCTACTACTTGAAGCATTTTTTAAATGAACTTACAGGTTGTTTTATAGTTTTAGTCAACATTTTCAGAAATAATGAGCTTTAAGTTACCAAATAATTTAAAAAAAAAACAACTATTTTTCATAATATTGTTACGAGCTTGAGGTTCGTGACAATAAAAATTGCCGATAAAATTACCTAAATTAACACTTTAATTTACTTTACACAAATTAAAGTTAAAAACACTAATAATTAAACACACTAATTCACTTAATTCCGCTCCGAAGCTTCGCTTGTGTCGCCGAGTTCAATTCTACCTCGATCGCATCTTGCAGCGCCTATATATTTAAATTAGCAAAGAAATATCCAGAATGTTCAAGTAAACACGCGCAAGGTACCGAGCGTTCGAGTTTCGACTAGGCGCTGTCGGTTGAGTGATTTGTGATGTCATTTTCTCAATGCTCCCCTCGCTCTCGTTCCTGACACTAGATGGCGCTAGTGTATTGTCGATTTGAGCGCGTAACACTGCCCCCTCCTAAGACATGCTCGTCCCGAGCATTATCGGCCCCATAATAACGCGCTAGGCGATCCACATGGACGATCTTAGGAGTTCCTCTTGCGCCTTTCTGTATCCGGTAGGTTACATCGTTGATCCTGGTCACGATCCGGTACGGGCCGTCCCATTTAGCTTGAAGCTTAGGAGATTTCCCTTTGCTGCGGACTGGATTGTGCAACCACACAAGTGAACCTTCATCGAACCCTTTGTTGTTCATTTTGCGGTCATACCGGGTTTTCATCTTTTCAGACATTTGCTGGCCCGATTGTCTGACGTGCTCATAAACGTCATTAATTTTTTTCCGCAAGTCATTTGCATAATCGGTTATACTGCGTGGAGCATCAGGTGGTATCCCGGTGATCAGGTCTGCAGGCAGCCGTAATTCTCTTCCAAAGTTTGCGAAAGCTGGTGTCACTGCTGTACTTTCGTGAACAGAACTTCGATATGACAACAAAAACGGTTGTATGTGCTTGTCTCAATCTCGTTGCCGATTGTCTACAACTTTTGCTAGGTACCTCTCCAATGTCTGATTAAGTCGTTCCACCATTCCATCAGATTGCGGGTGATAAGAAGTCGTTCTTGTTTTATGAGGACCCATAACTCGGCAAGTTTCCTGGAATATTTGAGACTCAAAATTCCTTCCTTGATCGCTGTGAATCTCTAAAGGTACTCCAAAACGACAGAAGACTTCATGAACTAGTTTATCTGCAACTGTTGAAGCTTCTTGATTTGGAATGGCGAAGACTTCTGGCCACTTAGTGAAGTAATCCATCACAACCATGAAATACTTGTTACCGCTTTCACTCTCCGGAAACGGCCCCGCCACGTCAATGGCTATTCTCTCCCATGGTGCACCAACATTGTACAACTTCAATGCACCTCTACTACGAGTCTGAGGTCCCTTTACAGCCGCACAACTTGTACATTTGCGACACCAGTCCTCGACATCGTTTCGACAGTGGACCCAGTAAAACCGTTCTCGGATCTTCAGTAGAGTTCGTTTAACTCCCAGATGGCTTCCTGAATTATGGTACAGCTGTAGAACATCCGGTACTTTAGCTTTAGGGACAACTATTTGTAAATGACAGCTGTCTCCCCGAACATTTTCCCATTTACGGTACAGAACTCCATCTTGAAGCAGCAAGCTGTCCCACTGGGCCCAATAGCTTTTAGTGGTCGAACTCATCGCTGAGACGTCGCTCCACTTGGGCTTGGGAGCACTGGCCTTCATCCATTCCAGGATCGGCTTGATGTCCGGATCTTCCTACTGTGCACGTTGTAAGCTGTCCTTCCACTCGTTGCTGAGGTGGTCTGCCCTGAGCATCCTCACGGATACCACTTCCTTACTCTCTTGCCTAGTACAATGTTTGTAATCTTCAGGACAAGGTCTTCTTGACAATGCATCTGCGTTGCCATGAGATTTACCGTTGCGATGTTCGATCTCAAAGTCGTATTCCTGCAGTAGTTCAATCCACCTCGCAACTTGTCCTTCTGGATTTTTAAACTGCAATAGCCATTTTAGTGCAGCATGGTCAGTTCGTAAGTGAAATTTTCGCCCCAGAAGATATTTGCTAAAATGCTGAAACGACTTTACCACAGCTAGCAATTCGCGTCTTGTGACACAGTAGTTCCTTTCCGGTTTTGACAACGACTTGCTGAAATATGCTATCACGACCTCTTGGTCACCATTCCGTTGGGACAACACACCGCCAAGTCCTATATCACTTGCGTCTGTGTCAACTATAAATTCTTTGCTTGCATCAGGGTATCCCAAAATAGGTGTTTTGCACAGACGGTCCTTGAGCTCCTGGAATGCGATATTGCAACTTTCATCCCAGCAGAAATGTCGCTTCTCCTCGGTTAGCTTGCTAGCTAGAATGTTCAAGTAAACACGCGCAAGGTACCGAGCGTTCGAGTTTCGACTAGGCGCTGTCGGTTGAGTGATTTGTGATGTCATTTTCTCAATGCTCCCCTCGCTCTCGTTCCTGACACTAGATGGCGCTAGTGTATTGTCGATTTGAGCGCGTAAAAATATACACAGTCACACGCTTAATGAATGGGATTAGAAATGGCGAAAATCAAGCGCTAATAACGATATATCGTTATAACGTTATATTATTCGGTTAATTGGACATTTGAAAAGAATTGTATATATCATTTATAACTAAACCTTTTTTGATATATTTATACTCTTTTACTTGGCAGAACCTTGCTGCAGCTATATTATAGTTGTAGCAAGAATGAGTTGGCTCGACCGAGGCAGTACCACGCTCTCAAAGAATTCTAGCGTAAAATAGTAGCGTAATGCTGCTGTGTTTCGTATGTGTGTTTTTACTGGAATCGAGGCATTCGATCTTAGTCCTCAGGAGTGACAGCGCGTTTGCATTTGCATTTTGGACTGTGTGCTCGTTTGTCACCCAATGCTATAAAAAAAAAAAACTAGTGAGCTGCTCTGGCATCACCTGGGTGGGATCTATTAATGTGGCTTTATTTAGAATTAAAATAATGCTCTCTATAAAATTTAGTTTGGATTAGCCCTGGTATTACTCTCTATTTATTCGTGAAGTGTTCAGCCATTTCGAAGTTAAGCTCTGTCTATCCGAGTTAATCTTCGAAGATTTATGAAAATTAAGGGTTACTGTTACGGTTACGGGTAACATGATTCAAAAGCAAATCAATATTTATATAAAAATATTTACAAAGAAAATCAACAATAATTATGAAGAAAATTAGCGCAACCGAATTGAATGTCTTTTGTAGTCTATGGCTTTTTGTTATTGATTGCAATGACATCTTTGACTGAAGTTATAGACAGAACGTAAGAGACGAAACGCATATCGTAACGTATTTTTTTGCAGTCTTTATCGGCGGGTGTGAGTATAGATAGCAACTGTGTGCAAGCGAGAGGTGACGCCATTTCCAATCCCATTTTTAACCACACGGGCACGGTAGATAGCCAGCGTACCTAGATGACTACGGTAGATGGGCAGCAGTGTATTCATGTTAACAATTAAAAATAACAAAACTGTGTTGTCCATCCCGCCATCTAAGCATGGAAACTATGGAAAACATCCACCCAATAAAATATAGTAGAGGCCTATCATCAGCAGTGGACTTTTGAAAGACTGGAAACCTAATCTGGTATAGTATAATGAAAAATTTGCTTCGTCTTTTTATCAGATCACTCTACTGAGCATGGACCTCTCACTAAGAAAGATTTTCCGTAATCGATAGCAATACCAGAGGTCTCAATGTACCGAGACCGGTGATGGGGAGCCGCATCAAAGCCATTGCGATCTCTGGTACTGCGATAGAGATATTATGTATTAAATGATAATTATTATCTTGATCTTGACCATTGAACAAAATTATTTTTATTATTATTATATCGCAATAAAATAAAAATATTTTTATTTTATTGCGTTTCATTTTGCGCGTGCTTTGCAGCACCCGTGATTACGGAGGGAATGAGGTGATTGACGTCCCGATGTCAAAGTTAACCCGGAGTAATTTCAGATTTTTAATTATTACTTTTGGTCAGATTTACGCAGAATAAGCTTACAGTGTTTTGAAGTCTAGCAATGGTATGCTTGAGTTTAGTTTAGTTTTTATTGATTACAGGATCCCAAGCAGGTGGTAGTGTTATTAGAAATTATTTTGATTTTGACCATCCAAAGTTGAGTTAATGCAAAACACTGAATATAAATATTCATGGTCATTTAAAATTTATAGGTACATTATGTTTTCCACTGGGATGTAACATGCAGAAATAGCTTGTTAACGTTGTAAATAATTAATTTCGACGGCTACCTTAAACATGAAATAAATATTTAAAAAGGTATGAATATTATGTTTGATTTTTTAAAATTTTTGAATTTATTGAGATGTAAGCGGAAATATTTGCTGGGTTATGGCGGCGTAAGGGAATCCATCACCTTCTGACCTCTGGGTGTTGTAAAAGGTGACAATAAAAATGCTAGAAATGTATTTAGTCTTCGCTACTCGTAAAATCTTCAGACCCAAAGATTTAAATAGTTAGATGCACCTTCACCTTGAAAACTGAGGCATTATTTTTGGATGTGTTCGTTTGCAAGACGCTGACGCGCGCACACTAATGCAATAGTGTCATCTCTTATTATCGTACAGAAATTGTGAATACTACTT